ATCCTCTCCTGTCTGGCCGGTAGATTTACCCCGCCAGTCTACATGCATACGGAAGAGGACGAATCTCCACACAAGGACTTTGAGGACGCTAGACGGAGGTTATTCGCTATCGCTGACGCCTGCATTCGGTTCATCAACGCGGTCAGCCCCAAGGCAGACACGCTGCTTGTGGGCATTGATGACCTTGTTGAGCAGGCCAAGCTGCAGACCAGATTAGAAGTATGGCACAGGCAGTTCGATGATCTCTTGAAACGGCTGCAGTCTGTCGGCAACCCGCCCAACCCAGACGCGGTCAACATCCTTCTCGTAAACCACAAGGTCGTCAACATTTGGACACGAGTCTGCACTACATCTCAGGAAACAGACACAGATGTTTACAGATCAGACTTTGACGAGCTGGTGACGTACGCAGAGCAAGTCATCAAGCCAGGCAAGGTACAGGCAGGACCACAACTTCTTTCATTCGACGTCCAACTCCTGGCACCGCTATTCTACGCCGCGCTAAAATGCCGTCACTCGTCAATACGATGGCGTGCCCTGGAGCTGCTCCGTCTGGCACCCCGACGAGAAGGTTTATGGAACGCGCACCACGCATATCTCACGGCCAAGCGCATAGTCGAGCTGGAAGAACAGCATCTAGGTGGAGAAGGAGCTCTACCCGACGAGACGTCGAGACTTTTTGGTCTGCCTCTACCTGATGACCAGTCACGGGTCTACAACCTGTGCGAGCTGCCATTTGACTTTCGTACGTTCGATCATAGTGTGGTGGCCAGCCCAACCTGCCCAGGCACGCTTGAGGCCAAGTTTCAGACCAGACCAATGGGTGTGTTTGGAGAGTTCCAGAATTTCACGGAGTACATCAAGTTATGATATGGTGGATATCTATGAATTGCGCCCATATCTTCTATATTCTAGAGCCTTCCTTCAACTTATTGTACAGCCGGTACTTTCCTCGTCTCCAATACAAACCAATACTCCAGTCAAATCCACAGTCCATGTCCATTACTCCACCTGCCACTAGATACTCAAACAACTCTCAAATCTGTGCATTTGCCTTCTTCCAAACGATCTCAAGCATGATTGCCTTGAATCTCCTCCATAGACGAGCTGCTCATTTCAAAGGCAGCCTTCCTGGAGTGCTTAACAGACCAAGCCGCGCTGCTCCACTGACCATCAAAACCAATACCGGGATGGAGAACCGTTACAGCGAGGATTGCCAGGAAAATCATGGGCCCCTCCAAGATCATGAAAGAAACCTCGTCATTGGCAATAGGCCCGTTAAAGCCCTGCTGCAACTCCGCAACACGATAAACCGAGCGGATGAAGACAAGCAAAACAGCCGCCCCGAGCGCCCACTGGAACAAGAGGAACTTCTTTGTCGACCTGAGCTCAGCGAAGCGTGATCCACCCTTGTTGCCCTCGGTCGTCTTGCGGAGGCGGAAGACGAACTCCAGCCACAGGAGCATGAAGACTAGCAGGGACACGACTTGGAACACAACACCCGCGACCATCATTGCTCTGCCTGTCTCCCTGCCGGAGTGTGTGTTTGCAGTAGCTGCGATACCGCCACCGGCGCCCTGGAGAACGAGTGAGATAAAGTCGCTCGTCATGAATGTGATTGCGTAGGTGCGAGGGCTGAAGCGAGAGATGTGCTGGCCGTGGACGATGATGATACGGGAGAGGCAGAGGTAGAGGGCACCGGCGAGGAAGGCGGGTGCGATTGTAAGAGGAACGAGGTAGCTGTCGACATTTTGTCAGATACTCTCAAAGGCCATGGAGTGCGGAGAACTGCTCGGTCCAAAACTTACATGATGAAGTTGTTGAAGTCGAATGGGTTGTTATGCAGCATGATTCTGCCGGCATATCCGACGACCTCGAGGACGAGACCACAGATCATGCCGACCATAAATCCCCATGTCTTATATCGGATGCCGAGACCAATCTGGGCGATCAAAAGCAGCCCAAAGGCTGCAGCGTAGACTGCATTACCAGCAAGAGTTGGAAGGTATTCAACTTGAGCACAGCTGAGGGGACATGTTTCCACGGTGCAGTTGGCATTTGTTAAAAGAGGGCAAACTTCCGACATTGTGTCTGTGGGTTTACAAAGACGAGGTAAAGAACAACGTGAGGGAGCTGAGACCGGAAGAACTTTCGATGCACTGCGTTGCAAGGTTGGTGGACTGATCAAATCGATGCGATCCCGTCCATACACATATATATCTACGCGCCCTCTCCGCAGTTCGCAACCTCGACAATAGCATGTCCAGAATTCCAATCCTCTCGCACTCTCGCAGTCGACAGCCCTATTCGGAAAGGGGCTAGACAGATACGACCTGTCCGCTACAGCCTACAATCCTCATGTCAACATAGCCTCAATCCCGAAAGCCACATGGCATGATTCGCCAGTTCGCATCTGACACCGAAAGACTGCGAAATCAAGTCAGCGTTGACCCCTTGCGCCATATGCTTGGCACCTAGCCAAGTGCAGTCAGAGCCTCCCGAAACGAGAGCTCCCGATTGGTGACGGGGTCGGACTCTCGTATCCAGCTAACCAAAAATCGCTTAGCGACCCTCTGGGTAGGCGCCCCAAAGATAGACTCGTACAGTCCTAACGCAAATAGGAGATAATGCGACTCTCAATATACAGGCCGCAATACGGTTGCACAGAGGGAATGCGGTTTGATAACATGTCAACATATCAGAAAGCCCGTTGGCGTTCTTGCTGACATGGTACGCGTCCGCTGCAAAAGTCTCTTGTCGCTGTTCAGCCGCGTCATTTTGCTTCGCCACTTATCGTCACCAATTCCCTCTAGAGGTCATTGCCCCCTTGATAATTTTATCCGAGAAGCAAGTTGCTCTCCTGTGCGGTTTGAGCTGAATTGCGGATGTCGATGCCCACAACCGAATCGCGATGCGATGGCGCCAATAGCCGGCCTACTCCATGTATTATGTGTCCAAACAAAACGGAAAGGACCGCAGCTGGAGAGATGATCAACAAACCTTGAACATACGGCTGGTCACCAATCATGTGCTTGGTCCGGCCGACGCGTAGGAAAAGTTGAAACTCACCAAGGCCCTTTACGTTTTCTTCTATCTTATACTATGAGTACAATGGCATCGTCAATCTACGTATGGAGTAGTTATATTTACAATCGAACAGCGAGCAGTGCGGGCATGGGTGGCTAACAGGGTGATGGCAGATCATGCATCGCACCAATGGCCAGGCTGAATAAGTACCTCTTGCGCATATTGGGCGTCATACTAGCCTGTCGAAAGTTGATTAAGGACACGAATAAACTCCTACCAGGAAACCACAAATCGTTGCACAATGATGTTCCTTGATGCAGCCGCCTCCAATTTGAGGTGCGAGATCGACTTGAACAGGATCATTCATCTGTATTAGCAACCGACTAGGATCTGCCTGGAGCCGATCAAATATTGACGATATGTTGGGTCGGGTAAACATGCTCCTTTGTTCATGGTGGACTGTCATTAATTGAACAAGCCCTGTTTACCGCCACGTGATACCTTAGGTACTTCCCTTGCCGATCATATGTCACTCGGAAAAGACTGTTCACTTGGGGAATTTGACTTGGCCGGGTATGGATTCTTGGGGGAAGATAGGGCAGAAAAATCATGAAGTCTTCATTTTTGTCAGTTCTTCCATTCTCATTTGACCGCTCCGACGAACTGTACTACAGACCAATTCCAAGTCGACCCAATGGAACTACCACTTATAATAAAAGATCCAATGCGATGAATATTCATCATGATAAGGAAAGAGGAAACGGCGAAATGATGTTAAAGGTACCCATAGTACACACATCGTGGAGGCTCGGTCGGACTAATCTGAGCTCTAGGATCAGAAGGATCAGCAAGGTGGGGAAAATGATGTTTGGACAGCAAACGGATACAACGGGCGTTGCAGAAATGGACCAAGCTGCGAATGATTCCGGGGAGATCAAACCAAATACGTTGACGAAAGGTAGTCACCAGATCGGAACGCAGGATGTTGTGGACAATAGATGTATGTTCACGCCCGTCGTACACATCATGTGTTTGCCGGTCTGGCTTTTGATGGACTGTGGTCTTCAGTGATAAGCTACCACCCACTCCTATAGCATGACTTCCCAAAGCGAGTGTGAACAACGAAAGAGAACAAGGAATGATAGACGCTTCATCATGGGTTGGATTACACCTACTTGATCGCTCCCAAACACCTCCTGCGCCCGCAGTCTGCAAGCCACCAAGCTTGGCCGTGCATGTGCGAAGTCCCTGAAGGACACAAGACTCTTCAGATGCCGAATACATGCTGATATCAGACGTTGAACAAGGAGTCCTAGAGAACAAACCTATGGAAGAGCTTCCTTCAGATGGAAAAGTTGGCAAATGTTTCTCCGCGTCGTGAGTGTCTGCGCCTGGCGGTATAGCCACTCCATTCATTGAGAGAGCAAAGTAATTGAGAGCAGCTATTCAGCCACTTTGAGCAAGCAAAATCTTGAGTGCGGCGGGGAATGAATTGACCAGGGACCTATTCACTTTGGCAAGATCGGCTAGATGTTATGGGTAAGAATTCATCGCTTCACCTGAATCGCATCATATTGCCTTCGAAGGCATGAGCCTTTGTTCGTCATGAACAAGCCTCGATTCAATGGGTCGCATTTGCCGCCACGCGCAAACTTCTGGAAAAAAAATACCAGGCTGTGTTATTGATTCCTCAATTTCTGACGCCATTGAGTTCTCTCGATTCCCAGCTTGAGCATGACATGGATAGGAGGCATAAATAGCTAACGGCTAGCTATCATTCTGTAAGCTTCTCTGATACCACACCGCCGTCACAACCTAACAACCTTTCCCATACGATTTACCTGCTAAGCAGAATAGACACGGTCTTCAAGCAAAAGAAGACATCCAAGCTGATAAACCTTGACAATGGGGAAACATGTAAGGAAGTTAAAGATTTCGAAGGGATTGAAACACCAGCAGAGACAGCATAACTAATGAACTCGAAGAAAAAGGAGAAGATGACACCAGATGCTGTGCGTCGCTTCATTCACAATTGGGGTGAGAATGTAAGAGTCACTCAACCTTCTCATTATAAGATATCAAATTTATGCACGTCAGGAACTAATAGGGATACTAGGACGAGAGAACCCAAAGAGCTATCACAGCAGCCAGGATGCACTTCCCCAATGATCCCCTCTGGGAAGAATTGGGCATGTCGACTGGAAGCAACTCGGCTGGTTCTGGTGGTGGCTCTTCCAGCTCTGGCGGACAGTCTGGTGGAGGTTCTGGTGGTGGCTCGGGCGGCGGCGGCGGTTCGAAGAAGTAGCCACGGGAGTCTTGCTACAGTTGGAATATGTAATGAGCTCAGTGATAACTCCACTCATGCCAGTATCTCAACATATCTGCTAAGTAGGCAGGAGCTTACGTAGCCGATAGTATCTCGACAAGCTCTACAAGAAGTAACCCCGCCCCCTCTCCCCCCTCCTCCGCGGCAAGTCAACTCAAAATGTGAGACCTTGTGTGCGCCACATAGGAAAGGTGAATAAAGTGATCATGAAGATTTCAAAATCGCTTCCCACGTGCAGTCAATTGCGGGGTATGAGTTACTTTCAGTTGGATCAGAAATCAATATATTTCATAGCTTTTCCCTCTCTTTCCCCTATCTATAAGTCCCAACCAGGAACCAGAACACCAAGCTCCCATGAGTGCCAATGCTTCCCAAGGTATCATAGTAGTTTATCCATCCCCCAAACACCCTTTCATGCCCATTTCTGTTCAACCCTATACTCTCACTGCCTCTGTGAAGGATATTGATATCGCGCAGGTTGCGGCTGCACCTCCGTCGCCGGCATCTCCACAGCCCCTGACGGAGATTGCGGCACATGAGAAGCCGGCTGCGAAGCAACAGGTATCGAAGCCAACTCAAACACACCCTCCTGCTGAGCAGGTTCCTGCGGCGGAGCAACGTACGCAGCTTGCGGGTGGTGGCCCCAAGCACCCAAGTTTGCCCCTTGTTGCGGTTGAAGATGCGCATACGGCGGCTGCGGTGAATTTGTCGCCCACGTCTGTCCACCGGGACTCGTAGCCGTGATTTCGGAGACGGGCCTCCAGCCTGGTTGCTGCTGCTTGTTCTCGTTCTTGTACTCTTGCGCGCCGGTGTACGCGGCGTATCCACCCGCCCCAGTGCCGGCGACGCTCGCGGGCGGGCTGTATTCGGTAAAGGGCCCGTGTTGTGGGTTATTGTGGCCCGTAGCACCGATGCCGCCGCCGAGCATTGGGCGGTGGGACTCGTCGTGGGCGTCGCGGCTTCGCTTGATGCGCCAGATGAAGGCGGCGAGGCAGACAAGGGCGATGGCTCCTGCGCCGGCGCCGACGCCGACGCCGATTTTGGCAGTCGTGCTTAGGCCTTTGTCTTCCTGTGCTGGAGTCGATGTCGCGGGTGTAGGTGTTGATGTGAGGGTGATGGTTGCTCCGCCTGTGGTGGTCGTCATCATGGTAGTGGGCGTAGCTGTCTTTGATGTGGATAAAGTTACTGATAGCGATGCTGTCGCGCCTGTGGCGCCGAGGTTGAGGAATTGGTCTTCAGTTATGGATATCGGCGTCTTGGAGTCTGAGCAGGCGGTGCTCATGGATTGATAGACTGTGCGGAGGGTATCCTTTGCTTCCTTTCCTAGACACGTCGCTGCGTTTGTGACGAATTTGCCCTTGTCATCGCTGCAGAGGCACTTGTTCATCGTTGCGACTGTGTCGCCGTCGCATTTACTTGCGTCTGAGGAGGCGTAGAGGCATGGTTGGGCGGCTGCTGGGTAGAGGTCAAAGTTATTTTGGTATTTTGCGAGAGCTGGTGCTGCGAGGAGGAGAATGCTCAGCAAGCTCCTTGTCGTTGTATTCCTCCGCGCCGACGCCATTGTGAAGAGTTGGAGGGAGTGTCGCTCTGTCTGCTCTAATCTCGAGATGGTGTTGATGGTTGAAAACCAGGGGTTTTGGGGGCCAGAAGATAGATCACTTTTGGGTGGTGACTACTGTAGAGCTAGGGATCGACAATGCGCGTCATGCACTTGGGCGGCGTCGATGAAAGTCTAACTCGAATTTCGCTCAATTGGGTTCCGATTCAGGTTGAGGCGGTGTCTCAGTGCTGTTGGTTCGGTCGTCTGAAAGAGTCTCTGTGGTGTATCCATACATTCGTGTCTGCTCGCCAGAGATGGTGATGGCCAGTTCAAGGGGTCTAGTTGAGTTCGGCGGCAGTGGGCGAAACAAATTGGCAGAGATACCAAGTACTTAGTAGAAGGAATGATGAAGGAGGCGTGACGGGGGGTTTTAAGGAACACCGTCCGGAACAACGATTATGAATCTAGATGGAGCCGAGCTAGAGCAAAGGAATGGCTGGAATCACTAGCGCAACAACGGACGGATTGACGGATTGGAGGCTGAGGCTTGGATACCTCTCACATGGAGACAATGGGCACGGGGAGAGCGTAGAGAATGACGAAGGGTGGGAATGCAGCGGTGCAGTGCAGACGATGCGACTAGGGGGAGGGAAGCTTGTTTCCCTTCTTTCTTTGCCTTTCCTCGTTGTTGTTTGGTTTATTTCTCTTTTTGCCTATATGTAGGGCTGAAGGCTGAGCATCAGCGCAGGTACATGTAACCATTCATAGATACACATTGAGAACCAGATGTATAAGGTTACAAGATACTGGTCCAGGCACGAAGTAATATTGTCCAGGGGCTGTGTTTGCTTCTGGACGTTCCGCAAGGGAAACCAGAGCAAACTTTGAAAGATGCTTCTCTATGAGGAACGTGGGTGAGATCGAAGACATGGAATCGGGACGGGACAACGAAGCAGACTGGAGCATAGCGCCGGAGGATCTGCGACCCTTGCCGGATTCGACGAACCGGGGCTAATTTTAGAGGCTCATAAGCCCCAGTCGTCTGGGCTGGCTGGATGACCGTCAGCCACACATCCAGCTCTGCTGTGTTCCTCTGGTTTCATTGTAAAGAGTGGGATACGGGAAGAAGACTAGAAGGAGAACGAAACGGCCTTCTGTTGTGACATCTTGGGCGCCTGTGAAGAAGGCGCATCGTCGTGCTCTTGTTGAGGAAAGTGAAGAATATCGAACGCTTTCAGTCTGAGACGGATTGTCTTAGCAGCCTGGTCAATCGACATTCCAGAGCAACTCGCCAAGACCAACAGAGAGTTGACATAAGCGCACACATCCGGGTACTTCATCTCATCTCATGCCCCAACCCCCGTGGCTCAGCTTCCCCGGCAACCCGGATGCCGCTGGAACCGGAGGCAGTAAGTTAACCACACGCAATGGACGGATACTGGTCGAGGGCAACAACAGTGTGTCCAGAGCGAAGGATCACTCGTGGATTCGTGGCACGGTCATTCGGAGGCTGCAACAACGGCCTGAAAATAACCGTCAAGCCACGCGAATCCAATCTCCTGAATATCGCTGCCTGCGCTGGAGCTTCATCGCAAGCCTCGAGGGGGAAGAGAAAGGAAACTGGTTCGGAAGAGACAGGGGAAAGGGAGGGGTCCAGCCACCACGGTCAGGCCGTCAGCATCATTTCATCTCACTCACAATTTTTCCTCGCTGGCTCCTGGTGATGACGCTATAATCTGACTAACCTAAAAGCGGCCCTCTTTTGGCGGCTGCCTCCCCACGCAGCTCCCTTGCGTCATGTCATTGTATCTTAACAATGGGGAGCGCAACAATGCATGTTGTGGAATCTAATTCTTCGGGCTGGCTGTCAGTCTCTTTCGAGGCACAGGGAAAAGCCGTGGGCGCTTGACTGGTCATCAAGTCCGCGATGTCACAATGATATCGAACGCGTCCAACTTCCTGTGCGGTCTCCGAGCATTGAAGAGATATTGGGCCTGTTCTCAAACACTGTAGAGCGTGTGGAACAAAGGTAAGTGGCTTGGATACTGGTTATCCATCTCGAGTCGAGTGACACCGATAGTATCAGAAATTTGCGAAACCTCGTCGAAGAGAGCTCTCTTTCAACATTTAAGTCTATTGAAGCCCTGCTGGGAAACACAACGTTATCAGTTCTACCAATTTTACCAGTATTGAGTCTATTTCTCCTCATCACCGACGGCAGTAAGCCTGCCGACAACAAGATACTTGCTGTCAAAGTTCTCTTCCCATCCCTGAAGCGCCTCAATCTCGTCCGGTCCCAGTCCTTCAAGCGGGTCCAACGGACCGTCCAGATCCTCCGTCAACATATCCTCGTCAAAGCTGCCGAGTGCCAGGCCGCGCGAAGCATCCCGGCCGGCGAAGTTGGAGTAGGGTCCGCCGGGTCCGTAGAAGTTGCGACCGTGTGAGACGTCAAAGACGCGGCCGCGGACGGCGAGGTAGATGGGTGTATCGTTCTCGCCGGTAAAGGGGAGGAGGGTGCGCGGGTTGAAGACGCGGAAGACGGTCGCGGGCGGCTCTTTCGGAAGGACCGGAGGCGGGGTCGGTCGGAGGAGGACGTAGATTGTGTAGATGTTTACGAGGAGGAAGAGAATGTTGAGAGGGGTGAAGAAAGCGTTCCTGAAGGGTGATTAGGTTAGCTGACTGATTTCCACAGAAGAGTGAGTTAGTTGACTTGCCCTTGGTCCACGTGCAGCTTCACTGCTTCCTCCTGGAGTCGCTTGTCGACGTAGTCCATGATGATGGTTCGAAGGTATCCGTACGCTTCGAGGGTTTGTCGGAGCTGTTGTCTAACCGAGGTTCAAGGTATTCTAGCTTGCCCACAACTTTGATCTATTCTAGAGTTCTAGAAGAATAATATCGAACATAAATTGGCCAGTCCCGCTTCGTGTCGCAAGATGAGGCTGTTCAAGCTGTTGTCGACAAGAGAATCATTGCGATAGCGACCTCTCTCGCCAGACTCCGTCGGAGCTCTCCAAGTTCCCGTCAATGGCTCGGGCCTCTGCTGCTCCGTGCACTGCCGAGCTGTGCCCCGCCAAAGCCCCATCTTATGTCATCATTAAGCTTGATCCACTCGATTCACGTGACGCATGCTTTGTCAGCAATGCGATCTAGAATTGAAGCTATCACGACTTCCCGGCGCTGGGGTCGCTGATGATCATCTCAATAGTACATGTATGTGAAGTATTCTCACGTCTCATGACTTGGAGTTTTTACTCATCTTGAAATCTTGTCAGTCTGTCGTATACCGTATCAGAAAAGAGCTCTAAAGCATATGCTGGGAACTCGACCACAAGCCGTGTTACGATAAAGGCCACGGATGCACCAAAACGTACACATGTATGTACTACCATATTACTATGCCTTTGGGTTGACTCAGAGTTTCTGTACTGCTAGTGCGCGGCGACCTTTCTAGGGATCGTCCCTACAAACCATTCCTCCAATCTTAAATTAATGAGGTACAACAGCCTTCGGCAAAAGGGCAACCTGCTTTTAGTTCACTCCGACAAGACAAAGCCTAGGAAACAGTCCATGTCAGCTTTAATGCCTAATGTGATCGATGGGTGACCCAGAAAGCCTGAATGTGGATGCCTATAGGATATAAAAGTATGTCTCAAATGGAATACATTGACATGGTGAAAAAGGTGTTTACTAGATCTGTGAGTTCAAGTTGCCATTTTCAACATCCAATTCAATTGTTGTCGCTTTGATGCTACAAGCATCGCTTGTCATCTCCGTGATCGTTGATCGGACGGTCTCTAGATAGCTCACTCCTGCTGGACTTCAGCAGCGCGCATGATGAGCATGACGATGATGATGAATTGTTTAACGCCGGTTCCACCCCTCAAGGGGTAAAGGGCGCCTACATCGGCCGCCGGAAACTATCGACCACTACACATAGTGCGAATAAAAGAGAAAAGCAATATAAAACCCTTAGCCTTAGGCCCGTATCGCGAATTAATCTTGGTGGAAGCGCGCATGCCACGGGTGATGCGAGAGGTAGTTAGCTTAATCTAGCCGCAGTTGAGGTAGAAGTCGGTACTAGAGAGCTTATGTAGAGTAAGATGGTTAGGGCGAATTAAGAAACCACCAGTAGCAAGTGTTAGGCCTCGCCGGTTAGACCCCGTTAGTTAAGGGATAGCTTAAGGGGTATAAGGAGGGGGACTAAGTAATAAAGGAGTAGCTTAGGTATATATAAAATACTAATAATATATTTTAAAAAAAGGGTAGATTTTAATAATTTATTTTTTAAACCTTAATAATAATTAACTTTTATAAGCTTCTTTTTTATATTATATATTTATTAATAATTTAAAATTTTTATTTATAAAAAGGACTAAGCTAAGAACTTAAAATATTAATAAGAACGAGATATAATAAGAGAGTATAATTAGTATTATAATAATAAAAAAAGGACGATTTATTTTTATTAAACCTCTTAAAATTACCTTTTTTTTAATAAATAATATAAAAACGGAACATAATAAAACGAACTACGTAATAATAATATAAAAAGACCATATTATTAAAAATATTAATAAATTTTAAATAAAATAATAAACCTCTTACCCTCGCTCATTAATACTTAAACTAAATAATAAGTAATAAATTAATAAAACTATAAAAATAAGAACAATAATTAAAAAAAAAATCTTTATAATAACATATAAAAAGTAACTATATAAAAAATAAATAAATTTAAAATATTTATAAAGCTTTTTAAATAGCTTAACCCCCGCACTAAGAGCTATAATTTTAATTATAATAACTTTAAATATTAATTTTAATATAAATAAAAATATAAACCCCCGGACTAAGGATAATTTAATAAATAAAGCTATATTTAAAATACTATTTAAGTAATAATAAAGCGATAAGTTCGTATTACTTAAGCCTCTAATTATTAGCTCTTTTTTAATTTAAATAAGTATTATAAATAAAACGTTTATATTTAAGTTACTATCCCTCCCTAATTTATTATATATTAATAAATTAGTATAGGACTTATAGAGCTTCTTATTTAACTATTATTATTATTTTAACTTATAAGCTTAATAAATAAGAATAGATTATAATAAAGTAGTATATATAATTAGCTACTTAAATAGTAATATAAAAACCTCTTAAATATATTATATTTTTAATTATAAAAAGGTCCCTAGGTTTATAATAAACTAAGTTATATAAAAAGAATTAGAAACTTTTTTATAAAATAACTTATCTAATCCCGCTAACTAAAGGATAATAATAAGTATATAACTAAATAATACTTCGTAAAGCTAAAAAGAGAGGGTTAACGAGTTCGTTAGTCGTATTAATAAGCTTAAAATAAAATTAAAATATATTTTAATAAAAAATAAAAAATTTCTATATTAATAAATAAACTATAGCCCGAACTACGCTTCGTAATAATATTATAAATAGAACTTCCGCGGACTTATTTATAATTAATATTATTAATAAAACGTATTAAATAATCCTTATTATTAATAAGGAGCTTATAAATATTCTCTAAGTAATATTTTAATTTAAATTTAAATAAGCTAGTAAGGAGATATAAGGGCGCTAATAAGCTAATTATATAAAGAATATACTATAACTTATTTAATAAAAATATTACGTATTATAATTATAAAAAAACTAGTTATATTATAAGAAATTACCCGTAACTACGGGAGTAGTATTAATAATATTATAATTATAATAAAACTAAGTACTTTATTAATAACTATCTAAGCGTTATATATTATAAATATAATTAAAAAGGGTATAAAGCTACTAATTATTAATTAAACCTCGCTCTAACTAAATAGTACGGACTAATAACGAGCTTAAATACTATTTTAATAAAAAAGGTAATTAGTAATTAATAAAAATAGTGCTTAAATATCCCGACTTATATATACTTAAACTAAGTATAAAAAAAGCTAAGTACCCTTATTAATTTAGGAATAAAAAAAAACGTAGTTAATATCGGGCTATTTAATAGCTTTAATATTAATTTACGAATTTACTTATTATTATAATTAATAAATATTAAAGGTAAATAAATAGAAATACTAAGGAGCTACTATTTATAACTTCGAATTATTAATAATAATTACGTAATAAAAATATAGTTATATCGCTTTATAATAACTAATATTGCGGTATTTATATTTATACTTAGTTTCCTTTAGCTAGAGGATATTAACTTACTAATTAGTTAGAAATAAAAAAAGTAGCGGTATTTAATTTATAAATAATATATCTACTTAGATACCCTAAAAAAAGGGCTATTAAATAACTTAGTTTTAATAATACTCGCGTATATCGTAATTAACTTAACTATAAATAGCGACGTAATATTAATAAGTATAACTAAAAATTAGAAATTATAATACTAAGATTTTAATAACTTATTTTTAAAAAAAAAGGTTATTTTATTATTAAATAGAGTACTATATAACTATTATATCGAACTAAATAACGCTATACTTATTTTTTAAAGACTTATTTATTTATTATTAAATTATAAACTAAAGATTTTATGAGATTATTTAATAAAAATAGAGGCTAGGGGCTAAATACGCCCTTTTATAAGCCTAGTTAGAGTACTTATTCTTTTTGTATTTAAAAAAAGAGAAGAGTTATAACTTTATATTAATTATAAAGCGATTAATAAAATTATATAAAAAAATAGAACGCTATTATTACTAATTAGCGAGATATTAAATAAATTATTTAATACCTCTATTTTTATAAAACTAGACTTTAAGAACGCGTATTACTATATACGTATAGCTAAGGGCGATAAATAAAAGACGGCTTTTTATATTAAATATAAGTAGTTCGAGTATTTAATAATACTTTTTAAGCTAATTAACGCGCCCGTAACTTTCTAAATATATATTAATAACGTTCTAAGTAGCTTAGTTAATACTCTTTATATTATATACCTAAATAATATTTTAATATATAATAATAACTACGTAATATATAAAAAGTACGTACGTAGCGTATTATAAAAGTTATAATAATAGAACTTATATCTAAATAATAATAAATACGAGTTTTATATATTACGTATAAGATTCTTAGGGTATATTATATTTAATAAAAATATAAAAATAAAACCTACGTATACCGAAGCTATAATAAATTAGCTATTTTTAAAGAGCGTTAAAAATATATAAATATTTTTTAGATTTACGGGGTTTTATTATAGATTTATTAATAATTATATTAAAATAACTATATTTTTAATAAACTTATTAAGGAAAATAAAACTAAGATAGTTAGAGCTATTAATACTTATTATAAAGTTATTTAAGAAGTTATTAATAGTATTTATTAATATATTAATATTATAATATTTTAACCCTACCTTATTTACGTAGTTATATAGTGGTTTTTTTTTCCGGCTTTATAAGTATAAAAGATCGACCTTAATAGGATTACGCTTTTAAGAGAAATTATATAATACAGTATACTTTTTAACTATATAATATATATAATATACCCTAAGTACGCGCTTAACGTAATATAGTAATTTTAATATAAAAACCGCTATATAATTCGGGATAAATAAGCTGCCCTCTTTAGTAGTAGCGCTAGTTAAAAAGGTTAATAATAGAGGTTAGCTATAATAATTAGCTATAATAGTTAGCTATAATAGTTAGAGGTAGCCCTTAACTATAGAGGTTCTAAACTTTAATAGCGACGTAGAGGTTTTTAGAAAAAGGGCTAAATGGGCTAATATTTATTATTTTTCGTATATTTACGTAGTTATAAATAGACGCTTCGGCTTAAGTTATTAGCTTAGTAATTACGTAATTATTTAAGAGTAATTAATACTTAATTACTTATAAGTTAAGGAAATTAATAAATATAAAGAGCTGCTATAGTATAAGAAATATAGAGCTATTAGCTATTATAAACGTATTAAAAAACTAATAATATTAGAATGGGGTGGGGCGATTAGTCCTAGTAGTTCTTTTTTAAAGCTAATTAAGTATGGGTATTTATAGGAGGGCTAATTAGAGTAAAATATAAGGGGAAGGGCCCCGATTAAAAATAAAAGTTCAATAGTACGGATTTTTATTTTAATTATATATATACTTTTTAAGATCGAACTAGAGCTTTTTTAATAATTTATTTTTAAACGTAATAATATAAGATAATTAAGAAGTTTATTTTTTTAATTTAGCTAATACTATCCTTTTTTTTTTAGTTATAATTCTATTAATTAAGGCCGTATTAACCTAATTAAAAGAGGTATTTTATATTACTTTTATAAGTATTAGTAGTTTTTTTAAAGTACTATACTACGAGAGTCTTTTATACCTTATACGTTTTTAATAATCTCCCTTTTTAAAAATCCTTTTTTTATTAAATAAGAGAATAAGTAAGAGAAGACTTAATTTAATTAAAAAGGTTTTAAATAATTAATTAAAGAGAACGGTATAACGATTAAAATAAATATAGGTAATAAGACTTTAATTTAAAAAAAGTAATTAAATAATTAAGATATAAAGGTAAAGATATATAAAAAAGGACTTTTTATTTAATAAAATAGGGGATATAATAGATTTTAAGAAGTAAACGAGATAAAAAATAGAGGAGAATGCGGATACGTAAAATTAAATTAGGCCTAAATATAAAACGCTACGATAATATAATAAAATAAATAATAAGTTAGGATTAGAACTAATAGAATACTTTAATAAGTATAACTAGTTATTTAATTAGACTGTTCCCTGTTAATTAATATAGCTTAAAAACTTAATAATAAACTTATTTAAAAGTGCGGATACGT